CACCACCGCCCCCCCCCCACACCCCCCCGTGGCCCCCCCCATCCCCATGCCTCTCCACCCCCCCTCCTCTTTTCCAGGCCCGCCCCCATTAAGGTTCCCTTCCACCCCGGAACCTGCTGACCGTCCTCCCGTCCCCCCACTTCCCCCAGGACGACCGCATTCTTCTTTCCTGAGACCTCCCAGCACCCGAGACCACCGCACCCATCCCGCCTCATAAGACAGCCCTCTTTATCCGCCCCTGAAATGGCCGGAACCCCGGTATCGCCCCGCCCCTGAATCCCTGCCTCATTCACGCCCCGCCTTGGTCCTGCCCCCTCTCCATCCCGGACCCCGGACCGTTCCGCCGCTAAGTCCATAGGGCGCCCTACCCGGTCCAACACCTGGGTCCAGGTATTCGTTCTCACCTACAACGCTCTCGCTCTAAGGCCCCGCCCCTGTTGGTGCTTCATTGCCACTATCTCTGAGGCCCCGCCATTCTTCAAAGCAGCCCCGCCTCCCTAGGAGCCGGGCTTTTTCCCGGGCCCCACCTCCAGTTTGCACTTGGGGATCCACCCGGTGACTCCCATTCTTCTGACCAGGGTTGCTTCCAGCTCCTCCTTTTATAACTCTCAAATATGTTCTCATTGGATACTGCAGACGCCTTTGTCCCCAGCTCACCTGCTTGCTCTGGGCCGCAAAGACGCTTCCAAGGCTGTTGCTGGTGAAGTGCCGAGTTGGAGCCAACATCCGGAAAAAGTGTGATGCGCCTGTGTTTAACCTCTCAGGGCTCTTCTGCCTCCGCTTTTTCCCGTAAAATACTAGTGGGAGGTCCGCTACTGAGTAAATACAAGAATTCAATTAGTTAATGTTGGTTGACTGCCTTGGATAGTACCTGGCATACACGCTCCGCGCACCCGTGTGTGTGTGTGTGTGTGTGTGTGTGTGTGTGTGTGTGTGTGTGTGTTGGTGCAAATGCAAATGCTTCAGGGCGCAATCTGATAAAATACAAAGGATTATTTGAATTCTTTTTTTATTTGCGGAGACGTGCTTAGGGCCTAAATTGTGATCTATTTCAGGGAAAGTTCTATGGGCTGCTGAGAATGTGCCTAGCTGTTGGAGGATGTATTGTTTAAAATTGTCTACTTGACTATTGGATTTAGAATCACAATGGAAACACACCTATGCCTGCCTGTGTGTTTTGAAATGGTTAACTGAATGTAGGCAGCACTACCCCTTGGGCTGGAGGCCTTCTATAAGTGAAAGGTGCCAGCATTGATCTTCCTCTGTTTCCTGGCTGTGGATGCAATGTGATCAGCCTCTTCCCTCACTCCTTGCCATGCCTTCCCAGGTTCCTTCCCTCCACTATGCGGCTGCATCTCTAAACCCTTCTACCCTTAAGTACCCTCTCGTCAAGTATCTAGTCACAGCAACGAGAAAAGTATACAGATGCAATATTCTGTAGATGTCTGTTAAATTGGCTTCATCTAGGTTGACCTCCTGAAGTTTTTCAATTTTTATTCTGTATGACCTACCTACCTACTGATGAGCAAGATATCAAAGTCACCCAAAATTATTATATCAGAATTTATCTGATCTTTTAAAATCCATTGGTGTTTGTTCTATGAAACAAGAGTTCCATCCAAACTTAAGTGCTTATGTATTTATGATTGCTATATCTCTTCAGCAGATTCTTTTTACTAGTATGTAGTGACTTTGTCTCCAAGTTTTGGTTTGATGTCTTTTTTTTTTTTTTTTTTTTTTTTTTTTTTTTTTTTTTTTTGTTAGTTGTCTGAATAGTCATGCTGGCTTCTATTCTCTTGGTAAATTGATGCCAGACAGGTATGTTTGTGGAGGCAAGAGACAGTTGAATCTTGTTTTTTAATCAACTAATGTGCTTCTTTGAATTGAGAGTTAAAGATAATTTACTTCAGGTCATTCATTGTCTTTATCATTACCTTTGTTTTAGTCAAGGTTCTCATTCTGGTGCTAAGGCTGATCTGGAACTCACTAAGTAGTCCAGGTTAGCCTCAAAGTTATGGCTACCTCAGCCTCTTGAGTACCTAGAGGATAGGCATCACCATGCCCAGCAATTCAGGCTGTTACTGAGAGAGCTGTGTCAATTCCTAGAAATTTTGTTGTTGGTTTTCTGATTGATTGGGATGTTCATTCTTTTCTTCCTTATTTGGATCAGGAGTTTGTTTATTGTGTTGGATACAATGGGTTGTTCCTTAGCTCTTCTTTGCTCATGAAATTTATTCTTTACTGTGTTCTCTTGGCTAAGCCTATTTCTCTCTCTCTCTAGGATTCTCCAAGTACACTCTGTAGTGCTGGCTTGTGATCATGAATTGCAATATTTTGTGCTAGTTTGAAATGGCCTTATTTCTTAAAAGATAGTTGTGATATGTTGGTGGTTATTTACCTCCAGAACTTGAAATCTATCATCCCATGCTTTCCTGATGACGTTCAGGATTTCTGTTGAAAGGTCTGATGTTATTCTGATATGTTTGCCTTTGTGACTTGTCACTTTTCTTTTACTTTTGATGTTCTTTTGTACTTTTGTACACTATATAATGAAGTTCATTATGTCTGGTCATGCCGATTGGGGTTTCTAAATGTCCCTTGCACTTGGATTCTTTCTGTAGCATCAATTTTTTTTTCTCCTCTAATTTCTTTAAGTGCATGTGTTTTTAGTTATTTCAGATCCTTCTACCCCATGGATTCCTCGATTTGGTCTCTTGCCTAAATCTTGGAAGTTGTGTTATGTTTTTACTTTTTTTTTAAAGCTTGTCTTTCATCACAGTACTTGGGAAGCAGAGGCAGATGGATCTCTGTGAGTTTGAAACCAGTTTGGTCTACCTAATGAGTTCCAGGCCAGCCATGGCTACACAGTGAGATTCTATCTCAAAACAAACAATTCTCTTGCTGAATTTGTCATCCATTTTGCTTACTTTCTCATTTGTGTTGCTGACTCTTCTCTGAGTCCTAAATGGATTTCCTTCCTTTATCTGGTTATTTGTATACTCTTTGAAGACATTAATCATTCTTTTTTTGTCTTTGTTTTTGGAGACAGGTTTTCTCTGTGGCTTTGGAGGTTGTCCTGGAACTTGCTTTGTAGACCAGGTTGCTCTCGAACTCACAGAGATCCACCTGCCTCTGCCTCCTGAGTTCTGAGATTAAAGGTGTGCACCACCACCATCTGTCAACATTAATTAGTCTTTACATATAAACTTTTCAATTATTTTTACCCAGTTTTTCTGTCCTCTCCTCACATGTCCTATCCTCCCCCCACCCCATCATCTCTCACTGCTGGTTAAGAAGGCTCATCAAAGGGTCTTTCTCTTTTGTGGTATCTGCTAATTTTATTTATGCTGGTTTATTTCTGAACTCATCTGTTGCAGATATATTATTCTGCCAATATCATTCTTCATTATGGGAGCAATGTAGTTAAATTTTGAAGTCTGTATCAACTTTCACCTTGTGGCTTAAAAAAAAAATTGTAATGGCTATTCTGGACCTTTGTTGTCATGTTGATGTCCAAAATATAATTTGTTGGGATTATTGTATTAGACTGAATTTACTAGTCAGAGTGGAGAGCAGTCTCTCCATCAATGACTATGGACCAGCTCTCATGTTCCATCTATCTTTGATTTGTCATTAGTTTTAGTCTTTTCCTGACATAAATCTTATACTTTACTAGACTTACAACTTTTTTGAAGGTAATTCAAATGATTAATTTCTTATTCAAAGCATTCTGGCTGGTATGAACACTGACTTGTTCATATATTGCAAACAACGTACTTGCTTCTAGTTACCAGACTTATGCTAATTCTTTTAGGCTTTCTGTATAGAGGATGTGCCATTTGCAAATGAATACAGGTTCTCTCTCCCTTCTCAATCTGAGTAGCTTTTCCTATTACATTAGTGGAGCAATACGAAATAGGATGGAAATGGGGGAACATTTTTGCCTCATTCTACCTCAGAGGGAAAGTATCTATGTTCTCACTTAGTATATTAGGTAGGTTTGGGGTATATTTTTCCTTTTCTTTATTTCTATAAAGTTTCTCTATATTTGTAGTTTCATTTTTGTCATGAATGGGAGTTGGGTTTTGTTATATTTTTCCTGGATCTGTCAATATGACCATGATTTTTCTTACTTAGACTGAAGTGATCTCAGATGTACAACTAGTTCCATAGACCAAGAATAAGTCCTGCCTGATTGTGTAGTTTTTAAAATACACCTTTAGGTTCTACTGGCCAGGTTTTTGTTAAGGACTTTCACACTGACATTTATGAGAAGCACTATCTATTATATCATACTGTATTTGGTAGAATATATTAGGAAGCAGTTTGTCAGGACTGGAGAGATGGCTCAGTGGTTAAGAACACTTGCTGCTCTTACACAGAATCCAAATTACGTTCCTAGCACCTATATAGTGGCTCACAACCACCTGTAATTCCAGCTAGATGACATGATGCCTTTGCAAATACCAGGCAGGCACAAGGTGCACATACATATGTGCAGGCAAAATACACACATGAAATTTGTAAATCTTAAAAAAAAGCAAGCATTCCCTCTGCCACTGCATTCTACATGAGATTGCAGAGAATTTGTCTAATTTTTTAAGTGTTTAGACTCACTAGTTTACCTACAAGGGGGTGATTATACAATCCACCAGGAAGGATTATGATTTATTAAAGATTTCCTGAGGATTCAGAAAGCAAAGCCAGACTCAAGCTATAGAAATCAGGCAGTGGTGATACACATCTTTAATCCCAGGATTGAGGATTAAGAGGTAGACATGGATCTCTGAGCTCAGGACCACCCTGGGCCACTGGAGAGTGAATCAGAGCTCACACCTTTAATCTCAGGATTTGAGAAGTATAAAAGGTAGAGACATTCAGTCTTAGATTAGTCTCTAGCCACGTTAAAGAGAGCAAAGCAGTCTGTGAATCTGAGGAGTGGTGAAATGGGGACCAGTTTGAGGATCACCCCTTTGGTCTGAGCTGAGGTAGAGACAAGAGCCAGTGGCTAGCTGCTTTGCTTATCTCATCTTCAGCTTGAACCCCAAAACCAGTCTCTGGGTCTTTTATTTTTGATGTTACAGGAACCTCAGTTGAGAAAATGCCTCCATCAGATTAGCCAGTAGGAAAGTTTGTGACATTTTCTTAATGATGTAGGAGAGCCCCGCACCTATCCAGTTGTGGGCAGTGCCACCCTTCGGCAGGTGATCTGGGTCTGTATAAGAAAAGTAAACCAAGCAACTCACAGGGAACAAGGCAGTAAGCTGCATCTCCATTGTTTCTGCTTCAGTTCCTGCACTGACTTCCCTCAACCACTGATACCCGGGGATCTGGGACTTAAAAGCTAAATAAACCTTTTCCTCCCAAGTTGCTATTGGTCATGGTGTTTATATCACAATAAGAACACAAAGTGAGTTCCAGGACAGTCAGGGTTACACAGAGAAACCCTATCTCAAAACAAAGTAACAAGCTGGTTCATGAGTCCTTTCATGCACCAGCCCCAATTTCAAAATGGGGTCATCAAACAGCTTTATAATTAATTTTCCTTTTTAATACTCATCTTCAGTTAAAGGAAACATGATTAATCATAATCCTTGGTTCAGGACACTCAGCATTGGCTTAGAAAGCCTTCTTTTGCTTATTGGAGTATCTTAACCTGCTACCCCAAAAGCTGTCAACAGTCACCAGCCTATGCTGCCTGTCATCTAAGGACACAGCTATTTTGGATCACTATCCTTCTCGTATTAACTTCACTACAATTTGTAAGAGGTTCATTTTCAGACCCCACTTCCCCGCATTGCAGAGTACTGAACAGAGCCCCGAGCATGTTCTTCACTCAGCTGCACCCTTGCTCCTGTTTTACACATTGTATGGACCTCATGTTCTAGCCACCATTCTTCAGTAAGGACCTTTTCATATGTGTGTGTAGGGAAACTTCTGAAGAACAGGGTGTATTAAAAGCAGCTTTAAAAGGTATCAACTTTGAGAGTCAAACCAATGTTCACTAACAGCAGAATAGAAACCCTCCAACACTGCTACTGCTAGGCTTCAATTTTTGGCAAGTGATAGGTTATCTCCTTGTCTTGATTTGCACTGTAGCTTCTCGCACTAAGTAACCTGTCTCCCCATGTTCTTCTCTAAAGGTAAGTATCTTAAGGTCTGTTAGATGGTCTAAGTATTAATCTTTTTAACATGTTCTCTATAGTGTGAAAGGATCAATTTCCTTTTTCTGAACAACCATTTCATCCAGCTATGTTTCCTTTCCCTGAAGCCACAAACTATCTTTACCTGACACCAGAGTTCACTTTGGTCTTTTGCTAGGCAATCTAGTGTGTTCCATTGCAACATCAAGGTAACCGGTACTGTTCAGACACTACTGTGGAAGGATGTCTTCTGGTTTTTTCGTTAACAGGTATAAAACTGTGAAAACTGGCATTCTATCTTGCCACCTAACTAAACCTTAATTGTGTCTAGTGTTTCTGGATTAAGGTTTGCCATTTAAAAAAAAAATCATAAAATGTTCAAACCTTGAGCGCTGCTTCTGGCTCATGGTGTCTTGCACCGGTGGCTAGGATGTGCAACAGCACCATTCCAATACACAAAGTAAAATGACACCTTGTCTGGCTCACTTTGAAACAGTTTGTATTTTTTGGTAGACACTTGGTTTTTCTGATTGATAGCTTTTACACAGACATTATCAGCTTAAAGAAAATCCCTTCTATAGTTTTTTATTGTTGTTTCTAAAGATAGGGTTTCCTCTGTGTAGCTCTGGCTGTCCTGGAACTCACTCTGTAGACCAGGCTGGCCTCAGACTCACAGAGATCCACCTGCTTCTGTCTCCCAAGTGCTGGGGTTACAGACATGCAACACCACTGCCAAACCTAGTTTTGTTTTTATAAATTTACTATTTTGTGTATGTGGTCCATGAGTGTGGTGAAGGTCTCTGGAGTTTGGTTCTGAAACAGACTTTTGTGGCAAGCACTTTCATGCACTTAGCTACTTCACTGGCCCCAAGAAATCCTTGCATAGGATGTAGGTCTGTAGAGTGCTTGCCTAGCATGCAGTCTGGGCCCCATCCCCAGCATTATATACACTACCTTTTATACCTCTCAAATATGTTACATATTAAATCCAAGGCTGGGACATAGCAGACTCTTAACCAATCAATCAAGCCCTTTCTAGTCGTGTTATTTTATTGATTATGAAAAGGGGCTCTTTTTCCCTTCCTTTTCTAGATAAATTCTCACTTTATTATCCAGGTCTGAAGTTTATTATATAGACCAGACTGGCCTTGAACTTGTAGTGATCTGTCTGGTAAGTGCTGGAATTACAGGCATACACCACCATGCCTGGCTGACTTTATTCAAATCTATGGAGACAGTCACAGTGGCTAGTCCTCATTTAAATCTAAATAATTTTAATATTAAACAATCTTATATACATTAGTCAGTAATTAAAATTAAGAATTTTTTTTGGGGGGGGGGTTTCAAGACGGTTTCCCTGTGGCTTTGGAGGCTGTCCTGGAACTAGCTCTTGTAGACCAGACTGTTCTCCAACTCACAGAGATCTGCCTGCCTTTGCCTCCCGAGTGCTGGGATTAAAGGCATACGCCATCAATGCCTGGCAAAATTTTACACCAAAGAATTTGTATTGTAAAGTATAGCCATAGTTTTTTAAATAGGCTAACTTCCAGAAAAGTTTGGAAACCAGAGGATAAATAGGTCTCTGGAGAGTTTATAATTTCTAGTTTATAAATCTTCTACTGATGCACAGTTTGGATGTCTTTAATGCTACGGAATAAAGAAGCCCCCCACTGGATGTTAATTTGGTGTGCTAGAGTGCAGGACAGTCAGATGAGGGCCAGAATATATGACAGCTCAGTAACCTAGTTTTGAAAAAATGCTAAGGTCTTCAACTCATAGGAATATAATTTGTCATAACAAATTAGCATGAATAGATGTGAGACAAAAAGTGTACTCTTACCAAATTAGGAAAGCAAAACTTACTGTAAAAGATTTAAAAAGAGAAAATTAACTATCAAAAAGAAAAAAAAAACAGCACTTTTTTCTTGGTTTTCTTTTTTTATTTAATCAAAGACTGGTGAATAAACATAAATACAGCACAATGACTTCAGATCATCCTTTATATTGTGCACACACAGACCAATGAACAATAATCTGAAAGAAACTTGCAGTCAGCAGTGAAATGCATTCAGCTTCTCTTTCCCTTGCTTAAAAAAAAAAAAAAAAAAGGAAATCCCATAAATTTCGAATCTCATCAGCACATATTCTCCTGTAACAAATGATTCAGACATAAATAATGGGTGCAAAGAAACTATATGCTAACATATGTATAACCTCTGTTAATGAAAAACAAAACAAAACAGAAGCAGCCATAGTGATTAAGATACATTCAGTTACTGATAACTAGTTGTGCCCAGAAGGGCATTATCAAAGGGGAATCGTGCTGCAGAGAAAAGCTATATATACATACACAATGAGAAATAAACTGCAAGATCAACACATGCATGTTTAATACTGGAAAAACCACAGCCCTCCAGAGAATTTCTCCACATTTGTTATAAAAGCCCTCTGCACTCAACTAAAATTAAAATGATCTTAAAAGGATAATACTTCTTTTCAGCCACAGAAACTGCAATGGAAATAAATGTTCAGAGTCATTTTCAAAACAAAAACAAAAATCTATTCTTCTGATGACATGCATGATTCAAAGGTCTATGCAAGATACGGTGCTCTACATTCCCAAGGACTAGGAAAAAAAACCTCAAGTCAATTTTTAGTTTGCAGATGGTCAAAGGATTTTGTATTCCAGCAGGAGTTCAAATCTTCTGGATCTTTTCGCCAACAACTACTGGATTTTCTTTTCTGATTTTCTCAGCAGCATCAGCTTTGTAATTGTAAGAGCAATTGTGTACATCTGAGTATCGGTGCACACCACAGTAAACATTTCCACACCGGCATTCAAACCCTGGAAATGGATGAATATGTGCACAGCATGGGTTAGACAGGAGGGTGAGATGGTAAGTTCTTCCCACAGTTCATGCTAAGAAACACTGTATTTAAGTCTATGCAGAATCACTGTCAAGTTCCAGAGCTACATTCTCAGCTCACTAGAAGAGAGTTTTCTTTCTTGTTCTTATCTACAAATACATGTTTGAACTAGGGCAAGCCTTGATTGCTTCTCTACACTGGCTTCATCTGTGATACAGCCACAATTTCTTCCTATGAAAAAGACTGCTAAATTGAAAATAGATTTTTTTTAAAAACTGAAAACGCATAATTTAAAAACAAGTCCTGGGGGCTGGAGAGATGTCTCAGAGGTTAAGAGCACTGGCTGCTCTTCCAGAGGTCCTGAGTTCAATTCCCAGCAACCACATGGTGGCTCACAACCACCTGTAATGAGATCAGATTCCTTCTTCTGGTGCACATGAAGCAGAGCACTCATATACATAAAATATATAAACAAATATTTGAAAAAAGAAAACTGAAGCAAGCAATAGCCAAATTAGATGAAAACTATAGTCAAGAAGTCTAAAACTCTATGAAACTTTTAAAGGATGTGTTTGATACTAAATATGTTTTAAATTAACTTTAACATCATACTTTAGTCTCCTTCCTCAGTGTCAACCTATTCTTTAGCATGAAGTGATCCTAAGGCATCATTTTCTTTTCTATTTTTGTGAGATAGGATCTGATGTAGCATATGCTGGCCTTGATCTTTCTGTGCCCACTTCCCAAGTGCTGGGATTACAGGCATATGCTAACCATGTCCCCATCTGAAGCATAATTTTCACTAAAAATCTTACTCATCTTTGTCCATATTTCTGATTTTTATACAAGTATTTGGTACAATGCCTAAGTAAACAATCAGCAAAACTCTTTGTAGCTGTATCAGTTTCCAGTGAAGCCCAGTACAAAGCTTGCCCTGGCCTTTAGCCCATAGCTCCCTCATCAGAGAGGATGTTGCACTTTGCTTGACAGGCCTCCAATCCCCTTTGTTTACGTAAACTGATCACAGACAGCCTGTCCCCAAATGCCCAGAGCAGTCTGACTGCACTCAACATACATTCTTTGCTAAATGCTTCTCAATAGTCCCCTTTAACAATCTTGACAACTGAGTTACAACACCAGGTATGCACCAGTAATGTTGTCTACACTGCAGCACGCTACTTTTCTCACTGACCATACATGGTCCATGGTCAACACCATTTTACATACAGTACTTAATTGAGTTACAACACCAGGTATGCACCAGTAATGTTGTCTACACTACAGTATGCTACTTTTCTGACTGACCATACATGGTCCATGGTCAACACCATTTTACATACAGTACTTAACAGCTTACCAAAGCCCCTCCAAAATACCATCTCCTTGAAGGCAGGAGACACCTCTGCCCATCACCAGCATTCGCCACATTGTCTTTAACTGTCAAACCCAGTTGACATGAATTTGTAATGCTTAAAAAAAATACAGAAGCTGACAGGCTCGTATCCACCATCAATGCTCACAGAGGCAGCAGCAATCTTAACTGTCTAGTAACAGTTCATATAAGTTAATCAAAACATGATCTTAACTTTAACTCATCCAAGGAGGCCCTTACCAGTAAGTCCTACTTTCTTCCTGCACATGAAACAGCGATTCTTTTTTTGTTTTGGTTTTTCAAGAGACTTGCTTTGCTCTTCGGATGGCTGCTGTGTTGTATCTGATACTGAAGCTGACAAAAACAGAAAGGTAGCAAATTTAATTATTCAGTAACATTTGGTGTTTGGGTGATGGTTAGCCCTTAACCCATACCATCCCTTGGATTTTTAATTTAAACACTAGCCAAGGAACTGATTTATAGGTCAGGAAAGATATTCATAAATATGTGCTATTTATAAAACATGACCCTCTTTTCATTAAATATATATACACATAGGTAGAAGGTAATATATAACACACAAATAGTGATTCTAAACAGTGGCTTACAGATTTTCTTCCTTTGGAATCTAAAGTGGGGAAGGTGAGGAGACAGAAGAGACAGACACAGACACTGATTACTTAGGAAGTCTAAGGGAATGTACAAGAAGAAAACAGCCGTATGAAAACTTAACCCTGTTCACGACTGGTCTACATAGACTTCTCAGAAAGCAGGAATACCAATGTTCTCAGAATGTTTCACAAAAAACGACTTAAGCCAAGTATTGTGGCACATGTCTACAATCCAGAAGACTGCTGTTTGAACCTATTTACAAAATAAAAGGCCAGCCAAAGCAACAAAATGAGACTCTTTCTCAACCTTATCCTTACTCCCAAAGCACTTAAAATGCTAGGAAAAACAATCAGACACAAGAAAACCTTAAGATTAAAACTAACAACAAACAATGAATTTTCATACTAAAATCAAGAGCAGACGCACTGCAACTCAGTTTGGGTCACTGTTACTAAACCCTGTTAATGTGCCCTTTTCTGTTACTTGTCACCCTGGCCCTCCTGAGTGTCCCAGAGACAGTCTGCAACCTTGCTCAATACACATGGCATCTAGCTTGAAAACAGTAAGTAGCCGACTTGCCCATTTTGTCACAACCAGGGCCTTTCCCAGGAGTCACCACTTTTCTGGCGCATGTCTGTAAGCTACCCCAAAAGACTTTCCCATTTCAACCACGTGTGTTCATTATAGTCACAATCCAATAACTTTCTCTCATCAACACTCTGTAGCTTTCCACCCTAAAACCCTTGCTTCATCTGTTGTAGGTGAAAAGCACATAGGTTAAAACATTCTCATGGTTCCCTACTATTCCAGGGATCCATCTTCACCATTCCTGTCACCCTCTCTCCCTGGTCACATCACATCATTCCTTAAGCTGCCACATGCTTGAGCCACACTGCAGTGACTGACTTCCTTTTTCACATCTCTATCAGCTGTTAGGCTCTTTTGAGGTCCTTGCTGTGCCTGATCTTTAGCAACTAACTCCATCTTGTCTTACCTGTTTATACTGGTGTATCCCACCCCTACAGTCTCCTCTCTATTCTGTGCTCCTATGGTCCTTTCTAAGCTCCTGTAACTGTCTATTTAACCTGGCTTAAGTGAATTCTTTGAGGGCAGAAACCTGTCCCATCATCCAGTTACCAGAGCCTATCATGATTCCTCTGTCACTCAAGGAATAAATAAATGTCTGTGGATCTGCATTAAGTCATCCATTGTACCTATGTAGGGCATTTCCACAGCCAGCCACTTATAAGCAGATACTCAAATACTTGTTAGTGGATTATAACTTACTTATGTTATAACTCATCTAATAGTAAACAAAATATAATACCAGACAAAACACCATACATTATTAATGAGTGGTGAATGTATGGTAATGAAGAATTTTGCAGCACAACTTCTCCACTAAACAAACTAAACCCAGGCCAGAGAAACTTCTACTAACACACACCCTTATTTCTCACAGCATCTGAGACAGGGTCTTACTCTGTAGCCCAGGCTGACCTCAAACTCATTGTCTTCCTGCCTGGCCAAATGCTGGGATTACAGGTGTGAGCCACCACACCTGGCCACATTGTATTTAAAAAAAAAAAAAAAAAACAAAAACAAAAAACAGGGACACAAACTTTTTTTTTCTATAAAAAGCACCCTTAGTATGTGAGCTCACTGTGGACAAGGGGGTGAATGTCTTGTTTTAGTCTTTGTCTCTAAACAGAGCTCAAAATAATTTAAACTGTAATCAGAAATAAGCCTGTACATTTATTTTCTTTAAAATCTGTAAGCCATGCATCTATCTGTTCTCTAAAAAAAAAAGGCAGTCAAACAAACTAATGCTTTGTTTATGTCAGTAACACTATCACAGATTTCTAAATGAAATTGGTGTAAATACTGGGAAATTTTGACAAGTATCCAGAAATGGAGAAGAGTAAAAATTCATGTCCCTCCTCTGAACACAAGTTGTGTCACACATCTCAAGAGAGAAACTTGCTGATTAGCCCCGAAGACTAAGGCAAAGTACTGATGGTAGATGTAACTTTGAAGTTAAAGACTAGTCGGCTGTCTGAAAAAGCACATAAGCCAGAGGTGAGTATCAGATATAGCCCGAGAGATGATGGGAGTATCTGCTTATCCCAAACTATCAGCACAAACTTAACTCACAAGCAATACATGAGTACTCTGTCAAAGACTGAGTGCAAGAAATTACTGTTTCCCTGGTTTATATGTGAGATTTAAGAGCACAGAATGCCTTATCCAATTCTGTTTATATGAATCAATCCCGAATAGAGCTATCTAGTAGTAGAGAAGCCAAAGAACCATAACTGAGTTTAAAGTTAAGGACAGTTTGTTTAGAACTAGATAGGGAAATGAGAATTAGAAATATACTGCGTATTGTTAGTAATTAAGAACAGGTGGACTGTCTATGTCATACCCACTGGTCTCTGGTGAGGCCAATGTAACAACATAAAGGCAGCAAAATCAACAGTACTATGCTTGCCAGCTAAACTGATAACTGAACCCTGACTAGACATAGTCTACTGGCCACTGTTGTTAAGAGACTTCTAAAGCACTGGACAGGTAAGAGTGGTTTAACTACCCACATGGAGGATCACATTCAAGAGGAACAAGGCCCTCTGCTCTGGGTCCTGTAAACAGAAAAAGAATACAAATGTAATAGTAAGTACACAACATGATTTAAACACTATCTGGGGCATATTCATAAACACAGTGAAAATCCAAACTGAATTTAGGACGACATTAACAGGTAACCCAAAACACTATCTTAATATATATGCCCACTTTCTCTTGGTGGTGGATACACTATCTCTATATACTATGATATATATTTTTTTCTCTCGAACAGTCTTGACAATTCTCAAGAATCAGATAATGCTTTTTTGGTGTGCAGCATTTGCAGAGCCCAAGCACGTTAAGACAAGCACTCTACCACGGAGTTCCAGCCCAGCGAAGGGTCAAAACTGAGGAGTGCAGTTGTTCTGCTTACTTCACTCTGAACCCCGTGCTGACACAGAACAGACTTAATGCAGACGGCTAAAACCACCAACTGGGATAACTTTAGTGTGCTGAGAACAGACTTAATGCAGACGGCTAAAACCACCAACTGGGATAACTTTAGTTTTCCTTTCAAAAGAGACCTCATTTTCTTATAGGTGGGTCTAAATTGAATGCAATTTAAGCTCCTCCCAGTAAAAATTCTATGTAAAATGAGAAAAAAAAAAAACCTCCAAGAGAAAACCAGACTAGCTCTGATACTAGCAAACAAAAGAAAGAAGTCCTATTTTTATTATTTTCTAGGAATCATATTAAGTAGAAACAGGCCTGGCAAGATGGCTCAGCAGGTAAGGCTGGCTGCTTGCTGCCACACCTGACACCCTGAATCCAATCTCCAGAAGCCACACAGGTGGAAGGCAAGAACAACTCCAGTTATTGCTCCAGTGAGCTCCAGCACCAAGCAAGGACATGCTTTTATTCTCTTTAAGAGGGAAGATGCTAGTTCAGCTGGCAATTATCCTTAACTTTTGAGAAACTCCAGACTGCTTTCCAAAGTATCTACACTATTCTGAATTTCCATAATGTACAAGTGTTCCAGTTTACACACACCAAAAGAACTTGTTATTGCTACTGCTTGTAGTACTCTGCGGGGGGCCATGTGTTAATTCATTATGAGTATGCTTTTGCAGTTCCCTTGTGACTACTGATTGTCCTTTCACTGGCTGTCAGTTTGTACATCTTTGGAAAAATATCTACTCAGACCCTCTGTCTATTTTTTTCCCCTTAAAAATATCTTATTTTATTTTATGTGAGGGTGTTTGCCTGCACATACTTTTGTGCCTTTGGAGCTAGAACTGGAGTGATAGATGGTTACAAATCACCATGTGGGTCCTGGGAATTGAACCCAGTCCTCTGCAAGAACATCAAATGCTCTTAGCCACTGAGCACTGTTCTACCTATTTTTCACTGGCTTGCCATATTCTGCTTTCTTTCACTCTCTCTTTCCTTATTTTCATAGCTACCACAGATTTAAGCTAGAATCCCATGCATGCTGCCCAAGTGCTCTACCTCTGAGCTACATCCCCCAGCAGGAAATTTTACTTCTTTAAGCATTCTACTAGATACATGATGTAAACCATTTTCTGTGATTTTCTATTCTTTTCATGAAAACAAAAGTCATTCATCCATCCTCTTTGGTTGCTATTACTTTAGGTGTCTTATAGAAGGAACTTTTAATCCAAAGCCACAAAAATTACACTTTAAGAGTTTTTACAGTCTTGGCTTATTTTCATGTAGATTTTGGCTACATTATGGGTGAATTTTTACATCTTTTATGAAACAGGGATCTAATTCATTCTTTTGGTCGGACTTTCATGTTCCCACTGGATGACTTTAGACCTTTGTTTAATATCAACTGCCCTTAAGCTTCTGAATGTATTCCTGGACTATCAATACTATTTCATTGATTTGTGTGTACCTTCATGACAGCACTTCAGTTTGAATTATTGTATCTTTTAATAAAGTTTGGAACTGGGAACTGTTAAGTCTTGTAATTTTTTCAAGACTGTCCTGGCTGTTTTCACACACTCTTCAAAATCTGTTGAAATCCCTAATTTCTACACTAAATCAGCTTTCCTAAATAATAGACTCAAGTTATCCCAACAGTTCCTCTGACTGCTATGAATTACTGATTTAACAGCTCTCCTTAAGAATTCTGGTTCCTTCTGCTTTGTTTCTGACAGCTCAGCCCTCCAAAAAGTTGACTCACTCTACACTGGAAAGCTTTACAGTCATATTTTATTCTAAGCCTTCAGTAACTCTCAAATCATTTGGGTAATACACAAAGCAAGAATATCCTTTGTTTGTACAGCTCATTTTAAATGCCTCTAAAGTCTGAGATTAAAACGTAATGAAAATACAGTGCTGAAATGTTGTCAGGGGAGCATAAGATACAAAACCAGAAGCTCTATATCAACACCTCACCTTCTTTTTAGTCTGTACCACTCAAGACCTGGAGGGCTGCAAGGGCAACCAAAGTTCAGCACTATCTTCAACAAGGCAGCCAATCTAGTAGTGTAGAATGCACCAAAATGCATATGTACTTTGTCTTTAAGCTACTTTTTGTGAATTGTATGTATGACTTAGATTTTTCAGAGCTTGAGATACCACCATCTTTTTTTTTTAATTAAAAAGGGTAGTCAAACAGCAAACATACGGCAACAAGCTACATTTTCATTTAGGCCTGCCTGAGAAAAGTTCTTTAGAGCCATGATGCCAAAATGAAAGCAGCACCTACTTGGTGGCATCATACTTTAATTATAAGCATAATACCTGCAGAGGAAATGCTATTCTGAAAGCCCCAGTGACACTGGAATACACATGGATAGCAGGCAGGTTGCCTAACAAGTAGGTCCGACCTACGTGGGGAGCAAAGGGGGCTGGACATGCCAGCTAGATGCACACAGCAAGTCCCAGACCATAAGCACTACACTGTCTAGTGGAGAGAACCATAATGGATGCCAGGTTCCAGCTCCCCAAATCATGTGCCTGTGGTGCAGGGGCCTCTTTTTATTCATTCAATAGATGAAAACAACATTCTCTGATTAGTCAGCATGGAAATTATGTGTAGAGGAAGTATGTCTATAAGTATACAATGAAGCATATTATATGTGTGTTGACAAAAAAGGAGAATATTTTAAATTTAAAATAAATAAAAACTGTTTTAAAGGATGCTGTTCTAGATGAGGAGACAGGTGTTTGTAAAGTGCTTGTTCTGCAAACATAAGGACCTGCATTTTACTCCCCCACATCCTATGCTTATAAAACAACTGGATCCAGTGGCACGTGCTTGTAATCACTCCAGTCATTTTACATAACTTGGTCAATTCTGTCCAATTCTTCTGAACTAAGAAAAGTGGTGGCAACAGAGACATCTTATGCTCTAGCCTCCACATGCACACAAACACACACATACGTCAAAGGAGGCTGTTAAGGGGCTATGAGCTAAAGCCTAATCCCTTCCTAAATTTAGGTGAAAGTGAAGCTTTTATTTGATTTGTCAAAGATTGTGTTACGCTGAAGTTATGAGTGCTAAGTCTTTAAGAACTTAAATAATACTGATCTACATGTCATTCAAAGCACACTTGTAAAAAAGAAACTCTAACTTTTAAACACATCACCCCCAGCTGCATCTTTAATCCTTACGAATTCTTTTCAGACAACAATCTAAAAGGTGTTCTGTTCTAAGACACATATAATTAACTTCTTGGGTAAGAAAGAGGCAGCCCTGTTCTCTTTTTTCTCTGCTAGCCTCCCTCTTCAAACCATTTGCCCCTGAGAACTCCTCTTTGGGGTGTCTACGGCTTGAAACTAGTCAGGATTGAGATAGATAACCCTGTTTTCTGTTCCACTGCTGGCTCATCTTCTTGCTTTGCTTGCAAACTCTCATTTTAGCAGCCTATATCTGACCTTCTAAATTTCTAGTACAATCCTCATTGCTTTTCTTCTACCTACCTACATTATACAAATGAGCTCTCTAAATTTTTAAATTTATCACGTCTTCCTCACTCATTAACATTTTCTGTAACAGGCTGGAGAGATGGCTCAACATTTAAAAGAACATACTACTCTTGCAGGGGACCCAAGTTCAATTCCCAGGACCCATAATGAGAAGCTCACAACTACCTGCAGCCTCCAGGAGGATCAGAGGCCTCAGCGCCTGCCCTCACATGCACATGATCATATGCATAATTAAAAATAAATATTTAAAGCCTTCTTCTGGAACCAATACCTTTCTCAGATTCCCTGTCTAAAGTAATCACACTACTGTCACTATTATAAAACTAAGCTTTGATACCACTATATAACTAGTGGATAACTCAATATTTTTTCCTTTTATGCATTTAAAACACCTCACACCCCTACTTTTCCTTAAAATTTTCTGTTTACAAGAATACTGTCCACTAATTATACTTTATAAATTTATAGTACTATGAGGGGTAGGCTAAAATATTTATGCTAGCCAAATAGCATATTCACATCCTGCAGAAAAATCTGCACAAACAGGTAAATCTGGTCAAGCACAGACTGGTCAAGAAATAAACCAAAGATAACTATCTGTATTATTTAATCTAAAATTCAACAAACTTCAAATTCCAGATCACCTGTTACCAGCATGCCCACACCACACATGATCCAGAGGCTAGTGTGCTATCTTAAACTCTGTCAGTGTCACACACCCCTTAACTTATCTCTGCACAGTACACGCCTTCAGATGACAGGATAATACAGCCTAGCAGAAATTAAGAACCTCCTAAATACCTTCTCACTGAGAATGCCTTCAGATAAATTTCTAAGAGTTCTTGGCCCGCTTAAATCTAAGGAACAACTGTGTGAGAGCATGGGGTACTACACTATGAATGCAAGCAGCTGGATATGACTCCTGCACTGTAGGTCACATGGGGAGAGAAGTGCCTAGCAACCAAGAAGAAAAGCCACAAATAATTAGTCAAAGCCAAAGATAGCTGATTCCTGCAAGCCAGTAGCCCCAGTGCTTGGAGAAGAAACTTTTTTACACTTAAATGGCCAAAATAACAGAACATATTATATTCTTCAAACAGACCTGAATCTTCTCTTTATGTTGATCTAATTATGTAAGTGGGAAATGGATCCCAACATTCTAGTCAATTAAATATTTGAGAATATAAAGGATTCTTCTCAAAACTATCAAAGCATGTACTTATAAGCAGGTACTTTTCTAGCACCCAAGTCTATGCTAGCACCTGGCATACAGAATTCAAATGTTAATAAATAAACACAAGCTCTATCATATGCAAACCTTGCAGGTCTTCTGTCTCGGATACTGCTTTGTCCACAGATGTACTGTCCACTTGGGAAGGTGCTACAGATTCTGATAAAAGTGACTGATTTGATACAGGGCTAGAAAAGCAAAAGATATTTTCATTTTTTTAACATAAAATTTTTTAAATTAATTCTCTTCTTTGGTTTTGAGACAGGGGCTTACTCTTCCCAGGATGGTTTAAAAGCCCTGGGCTCAAGAGAACCTCCTGCTTCCTTCAGGTGAATGCCATTGGACCCAGTAATAATTCAATTTGAAAAGATCATCTTCGAAATATCCAAATAAACTGAAGGGACATAGTAAGTAGTACTTACTATAGAACACAGAGACACACTCATAACCTAACATAATCACCGGGCCTGGAAACCATAGGCTAATTTGGGCTTGAGGGTTATGTTTTAGAAACCATATATCTTTTTGTACATCCTGAGTACCACATGAATGCAGTAGATAGATGCAGTCTTGCTTCAGAAACTCTTAAACAGAGTTAAGTGAGTATCTACTATGGATTTTTAAAAAGAAACCATAATGCAAAAAATTCAATAGCTTGCTTTGTAACTAAAAATATGGCAACAGGTCTCCCCCCCCCTGCTCTTTCTCTTTGTCTAGAAGAGTCTCAAATTGGCTGTGTAGTTGAGCCCCTGATCCTCTTGCCTCTATTTCTTAAAAGTTTGAGATTATAGGCATGCGCCATGACTTTCAGAGGTTAAAACAGACTTCTGTATGCATTCCTCTATCTCTGATTTCAGAGCTCAAAACAAAACAAAAGTATTACCTCGTGATAAAAACAAAAAGTCAGAGAAAAGGTTCTTCTGATTCAAGGCACTAATACTTGTAGACCAAGGACTGCAATGTGAAGAACTAACCCAATATGGGCTAGTTTAAAGGAACTTCAGCATCAGGTCAGGATGCAATGTGAAGAATAAAGGAAAAGTAACTAGTGAGTAGCAAGTAGTCAAATACAGTTTTAGACTAGATACATTACAGACTCTGCAATGGTTTTAAAGTTTTCCCTAATGAAATGATTAAAAACAAGCAAAAGGTCAAAACTCTTTAGTGAGTTACCTTTCAGAAGGTACCTTACCCTGGTTGAAGAGATGAGGACGTAGACTCTAGTGCTGACTGAGCGCCTGCGACACTGCCGTCTGTGCACTGTACTGGTAAGGATTCCGACAGACTGCTGACAGAAGCTGCTACAATATAAGCACATTGCACATTAGTGATTCAAGCAGCCTGGTCTGGATCAATCTCCCACAAAACATAGTATATAGGTTTTCTTTAATTTACAACTTTGCAGTAATTTGCAGATGGGGGAAAACATTTGTGGGTATGCTAGGGGTTAAACTCAGGGCCTTGCACATGCTCAGGATGTGCTTTGTATCCCCTACCTTGCATTTTTTTCTTTTTTTCATGATATGAATGTAGCATTGTAAATATTACAGAAAGTGAAAGGACTACCACTGAGCAATATCTGTATCCCCTACCTCGCATTTTTTTCTCTTTTTCATGATATGAATGTAGCATTGTAAATATTACAGAAAGTGAAAGGAGGTACTGCATATACACCATGAGCTTGTCATGAACACTACTTTATCTGGATTACTTACCAGGTGGGCTTATTCTACCACTGCTACTGTTCTGTCTTTGAAGATGTTCTTTATAGCATACTGAACACATGCCATTTGTACGAGGGTTTCCATAAAATCCGCAACCAGTGGAGCAAAGCATAGGTGCTTGGCTGTGATTAGTTTCTTGAGCCATGTTCTTCTGTTGCACACCTGAAATTTAAAGAATTGGTAAAGAATTCAACCACAAGACGTCAGTCTTACATTATACAAATCTGCTTTTTTATAATGAAGAAAAACCATGTATGTGCCCTTTCCCTAACCACTCCATGGCTATCCCTAGAAACACGACAAAAGTAAAGAGCAAAGGACACTTGCTAACTCTTACTTCAAACTACCCTATGTAAGCAGATCTATGCTGGCTCAGAAAATATACAACTTCCCTAGAGCAAAGGGCCTCTTTCTGAAGATACTGTACCATTCAAAGATTAACTTCAGTTTGGACTCTTACAATAAAAAGAAATCACTAAGTTTTGCTATCAAGTTATACTACTTAATTTCTAGCTATTTATAGTTTTGTTCCAAATCCACATTACCTTGTGATTCATTCTGTTTAAAAATTACCACTGACTCAACAAAGTTGAGTCTGGGCAATAGAGGAGAGCAAGAAAAGAGGTATCACAATAGAGGGAGCCATTATAGGTTTAAGGAGAAATATTTCACTAGGGAAATGTCCAGAGATCTACAAAGATGACACCAACTAACAATCTAAGCAATAGTGGAGAGGCTATCTTAAATGCCCTTCTCCAATAAGGAGATTGATGACTACCTTATATGCCATCCTAGAGCCTTCATTCAGTAGCTGATGGAAGCAGAAGCAGACACAAATAGCTAAACACTGAGTCGAACTCCTGGAATCCAATTGCAGAGAGGGAGGACTGGTAAGCTAAGGAGTTAAGACCAAGCTGGAGAGACCCACAGAAACAGCTGACCTGAGCAAGAAGGGGGAGCTCATGGACCCCAGACTGATAGCTAGGAAACCAGCATAGGACTGATCCAGATCCCCGATCAGTGAGGAGGCCTTGGCAATCTATGAGGCCTCGGGTAGTGGATCAATATTTACCCCTAGTACAAGAATGGACTTTGGGAGCCCACTCCTCATAGAGATCAGTGAGGAGGCCTTGGCAATCTATGAGGCCTCGGGTAGTGGATCAGTATTTACCCCTAGTACAAGAATGGACTTTGGGAGCCCACTCCTCATAGAGGGATACTCTCTCAGCCTAGAAACATGGGGGAGGGCCTAGGCCCTGCTCCAATTGATATGACAGACTTTGAAGACCCCACATGGAAGGGCCTAACCCTCCCTGGGGAGCAGAAAGGGAATAGGTAGGGGATTAGTGTGGGGCAGGGGAGGGAGAGGGAACTGGGATTGACATGTAAAACAAGCTTGTTTGTAATTTAAATTTAAAAAATCTCTATATCTATCCCCCGCCCAAAAAAAATTCCACTGAATGTAATATTCATTCTGGTGACAATATGGAGAACTGGGCAGAATGCTGTTGGAATGAGAAATGGATTCAATCACTTTGGAAAGCAATTTAGCCATTCACATCAAGAGCCCTAATGAACTGCTTTCTGAATCAGCCATTTTTTCCTTTGGAATCATCTATAGAACATCTACAGTATGATTTAAAAAGGAACAAAGAATATACAAAGAAGTGCTTCATGAGGTATTTCTGATGTTGACAAACTGAAAACACCCTGAATCTCCAACATTATTCTAAACTACTAATGACAATATTAATGACAAAAAAATTCCAGAATCAGTAAAATTTTAAATGACTTACTCAGAGAGAAAATGTTGATAGTGAAAATGTACACAGTGAACTGTATATACAATATGCTGCTAACCGGTGCTAAAGGAGTAGTTATTGATTATAAAATAGCAATAGAAAACATATGCAAGAATGGCAATACTAAGTCTTTTCTGTTATATTCTTTTTTTATTAAACTTCAAATGAAGACACTACTTGCCTAATTAGGGAAAACTGACTTTTTGAAGCATTAGTAATTTTAAAGAGTAAAATTAAAATCTAATGGGACAGGGGAACTCAGGAACTGTTTGGGAACCACATGAAAGTGATGATCAATCAAAGCAGATGGGAGAACTTCACATGCTATTTCTCCCAGAAAGCAACTGGTTATTTGGCACAAACAACCCATGACAGCAAACAAGTAATAGCAGCAGGCTTATCAAAGCACAAGCAAGGTTACTAGAAGTACATCCTTGTGTATTACAGACCAAGAAGAATAAGATACACAAAATAGGAAACGCTTTGTCACTGAAATTGCCTTGATCTGGTAAACACCTAAGAGAAGCATTCACTGTTCACAGAAACCAGATTTTCTCTGTCTGAATGTTTTAAAGATCGTTGAGGGTGGAGATGTACCAAATTTATGAGCCAAGAACCATAAAGCCCTTTGGACTACAAAAGGAAGCTGTAGGCTTATTAGCTACCATTAAAAGTAAAATGTCCTAGCTGGCATCCTGGAGTACTCCTGTAATGCCAGCACTTGGGTACAGAAGCAAACACATTTCTGTGAGTGCCAGTCCAGTCTTGTCTGCATAGCAAGTTTTTTTTTTTTTCCCTTAAGATTTTATTATGTGCCTGCGTTGGTGGCACACGCCCTTAATCCCAGCACTCAGGAGGCAGAGGCAGGCGAATCTTTGTGAGTTCGAGGCCAGCCTGGTCTCTAGAGCGAGTGCCAGGATAGGCTCCAAAGCTACACAAAGAAACCCTGTCTCTAAAAACAAAACAAAAAACACAAAAGAACAACAACAAAAAAGATTTTATTATATAAACAACATTCTGCCTCCATGTATATTTGTACACCAAAGAGGGTACCAGATCTCATTACAGATGGCTTGAGGCGCCATGTGGTGGCTGGGAATTGAACTCAGGACCACTGGAAGAGCAGCCAGTGCTTTTAACCTCTGAGTCATCTCTCCAACCCTTACATAGCAAGTTCTAGGCCAGCCAGTTTTACACAGTGAAAATCTGTCTCGAAACAAACAAACAAATGAAGAAAAGAAAGAAATGTCCTAGCTGTGTGTGGTAATGCTACCTATAATACAGCACTTGGAAGGCTGAATCAAGAGGATCCCTAGTCAGCAATCTGAACTACACAGAATTCCAGGCTAGCCTGGGCTACCTAGAGTGACTCTGCTTAAAAGCAGAAAAACAAAAATCCCAAACAACAAACCTAAGGATGGTTTTTAGGTCTTTAGCCAGGATCTGACAAGCTTCTTTTTCACTCCATGACAAGTTCCTTCAGAATGCCATACTTGTCAGAGTGTATGTGTGAAGCATGTGCTGTGCCAGTCATCTCTCTGTTGCAGTCCTGCAATTCATATGCAAATTAAAAGGCAATTATAATGTAGAGAAGCTAGCATTAAAGTCTGATGGCAAGAAGTTCCCGAGGGACACTTGTCTATTGAATTCTCTTTTGTATGTGTGCAGGTGCACGCTCATTTTGTGTGTACATCTGTGCTGAGGCCAGAGTTTAAAATAAAACAGGGTGTCTTCCTCAGTCACTTTCTACCTGGCACTTAGAAACAGTGGTCTCACTGAACCGGAGTTCACCAGTACAGCTAAGACCGTCTGTGTAGCCAGTGCCAGGGATCCTGTCTCCACTTTCCCAGCACTGAAATTACAGAAGTATGAAGGATGCAGTGTTTTGGCTTTTTATGTGACTGTGGGGGATCTGAACTCAGATCCTCATGATTGTGCATCAAACAATTTATCCACTGAACCATCTCCCTGACCCTGTGCTCACTTTTCATGTTTGTCTAGTTTTGTTATCAAGATGACTGCTCATCATTATGAAGTTAACTATGTAATAGAGCTAGAATACATCCAGGTAGCCTAGCTATACCAATGTCCAGGTTTTAAGCTAGTAGTTTTAAAAGTATAGCCCAAGAGCCCCTATGGAGGGTGGAGCCCAAGAGCCTCACCCTCGGAATAACATTAATTAATAAGTTATCTGTCTTTAAAAACAAACAAACAAACAAACAAACAAACAAACGAAACATGATCCTTAGTGGTGCAAAAGCTTCGGTATATTAAACATCCAAATCCTTTCAAGGAGCCAAACAAGCATCATACTACACCCAGAGCAAAAAGTAATTTACCCATTCAATTTTGCCCAAGCACACATCTTATTTTCCTTGAGGCTGGGTTTTCTGAGGTCACGGGCATGTGACATTATATCTTTTTAATATTTTGTGTGACCAAACTCGGGGGTGGGGGGTCACCTAGGAAGCATTTCTACATTCTGGAGAAATATAATTGTCTGAAGAAAAAAATGGATGTTCAACTACTTGAATTGTGAGGTGACTGAATTATCCTTTTAGTGAACAACTTCATTTTACAGAATGATCGATAAACTGGTTATTCAGATTTGATTATATAGCAGATATTTTCTTTTTTTAAGATTTATTTATTATATATAGTGTTCTACCTGTATGTATGGCTTCAGGCCAGAAGAGGGCACCACAGCTCATTATAGATGGTTGTGAACCACCATGTGGTTGCTGGAACTTGAACTCAGGACCCCTGGAAGATCAGTGCTCTTAACCATTGAGGCAACTCTGTAGCCCTGGCAGACATTTTCTTAAAAATGAAGGTAGTGACTTAATTTTTTTCCATTTGTACTAACACACTGTACTAAATATGTAAGGTCTTATCTACGTGGGTTTGTTTACAAAAACTAATAAAGTATTCTCTAAATTAAAAAAAGAGAAAAAAATGAAGGAAGTACACCTGTCACTTCAAAACAACCACATTCAAGCATTGGGACAGAAAAGGGCTTAACAGGTCTCCAATATTTTGAGTGTTTTAGTGAAATTAGTGGTGTCATTAGTAAAATGTGATTAAACGATACTGAAACAACCTTTAAAGACCTCCTTAAATCAGTGAATCAAGTACCCAATATATGACAGCACAAAACCATTCATGAACAAAAGATCCATTTAAACTAAAAGGCCAACAGAAGAGACTTTAGGGCCAGGTGTTGGTGGTGCATGCCTTTAATCCCAGCACTAGGGAGGCAGAGGCAGGTGGATCTCTGTGAGTTTGAGGCCAGCCTGGTCTCCAGAGCGAGTGCCAGGATAGGCTCCAAAGCTACACAGAGAAACCCTGTCTTGAAAAACC